GAGACCATTGGAGGAGGGAGGGTGGGCAGGGAAAGCGGGGGAGGGGGGCCGCGGGGGATGAATGGAGAGTTGGGTTGGGAGGCGGGAAGGTCGCTGGGGGTGAGCCGGGCGAGGTGGGTGGGATGGGTGGCGAAGCGGGCATGGATGGCAGCAGCAAAGTCGTCGACGGGCTCCTGCGAGCGAGCGTCGGCGCGGGGGTTGTCGTGGAGGTTCTCCGTGATGGCGGAGTGGGAGGGGAGAGGGAGGAGAGCGCTGAGGGAGGACAAGAGCGGAGATGAGACAAGAGCGAGCGCTGAGATGAGGGCTTAGAAACGTCGAGCTGTGGAGTACTTCTGCGAATAGCGTGGCACGAACAGGCGCCCGTCGTCGATGCCCTACGGCCGAGGCCCTGACGTCACCCCCGCCCCCGATGCATTCCTTTTTGGGGCTACAACCGCCTCGAGCGTCCCCGACGCGCCAGCGTAGCGGGTGCATTGCTGCTCGTCCGCGGTCAACGGCCGATGTCACTGGAAGGTACGCCGTCGCTGCCGCCGCCGCCGCTGTCCTGCTCATCATGCATCGCACCTCTGTCGTCATCGTCTTCCTAGCGCGGGTTCCCACCACGTTCGACTCCCCCATTCAAAAATGCTCGTCGGCTTCGTCAACATGCCGGATGCGTGTATTTGTAGTCCGCCATCCAGCGTGCACCTCGAATATGTTCTCTGCTCTTCTGCGCTCTTCGACGGGGGTGTCTGCTCTGCTCCTCGCTCGTGGTGGCGCAATCCCGGTCGCGTGCACCGCCAGCTCGCGCCCCGTTCGCCACCCTCGGCAGTCCCAGCGCGCTGTCCGACACGCTCCAAGTCGGTGCTAGCTAACCCGACTTCTCCCCCGGTGCGCCCTCACTTCCCCTGCGGTCCTATGGAATCCTGTAGAAACAGGTGCCGAGATTCCAGCGATCCCGTGGGTTCTTCTCAATACAATCAACAGATGCACCGATCTGCGCACCTCCCTTCGGAACCTCTGCCCCGGTGCGTGCATTCGCTGCGATGATGATCAACGGACAGATGTAATGCATCGTCCGCGAGTGAATCGCTCACTGCCCATCTCGACCCTCCAGATTTCATCCCGCGCGCATCTATTATCGCGCGTTCAACGTGAGGATCCGGCGAGCTTCCTCTTCTATCGCGCCCTGCACCCGCGCTCCTCACTCTAGACCGCGAACATCATCCCACGTGCCCACCCCTCCAACCCTTCTTCCAGACCGCGGTCTGGAGCGTCCCTCTCATCAACTAAAACCAAAAGAATGTCTCTATAACGCCTGCAAGCATCAATACAATCCAATCCTGTCTACATCACAATTCCTGTCCCCCAGATGGTGGAATGTATATTCAAGGTCCGTCCAAAAGGCTGCCGATGTCTATCCATAGCATTTGTAAAGTTCACAAACATAAAGCGGGTTCTCAAACGTCGACTCGTTTCGGAGAACTGATCCATAAACCTGAATGAATTGAGGTGATACAAAGGTTCCGAGTGACGGGCGAGCCCTTGTCGGGAGCGACCAAGGGCGGGATTCAGAGCGTCGCGCACGAGGCCAGAGTCTCCGAGCGCTAGAAGGCCGAGCAAGTGGCTGTGTACTGCCGTAATTAACAGACCAAAGGCACCGCAGACGTGAAAAGTATCCGCAACCGTTCATTCAACTGAGATTAACTATCATATGAACAAATGTCTTCATGTCTGCAGTGCGAGGTGCTGCGAGAGAGCGAGCAGGTGGCAAGGAGGTGATCGGATGACTCCGAGGACACGGTAGTGCTAGCACATACGTGCTATCATTAATTCATTGGCCATGCAATGCAACCGTAACGGTGATGCAGATCGCACTTCCACCACCCCTCGCAAAAATATGATAAAATTATATGAAAGACTGGAAAACATGACTGCTGTTCCGTCGTGCGAGGCGAACGCGTTATGCCACTAGTGATCTACAGACTAGTGAATAGTGAAAGCCCCTATTGAGTCGAGGCCGTGATCAAATTCGCCGACTCCTCCAGCTCGAACTTGCAGCACAGCAGTTTGCACGAAGATGTATAGTAGGTAGAAGCGTTACGTACTGACCGATCCCGATGCACGTCGCACGAGCACGAGCACTCGGGGAGAACGAGTGGCTGCAAACTCGGATCAGAGAATCACATGCACGGATTTGAAGTCAGTGTTCGAGCTGAGAACTGCGGGGTTGCCTCGGAGGCTCGGGCAACGACTGTATTGAATGCATACTGAATGGTGCCGGAGCATCCCCATCAATCGAAGGCGTTCCCTTACGGTGGCTGACAATTGCACACTGCTGTAGCGACAGCAATTTGTACCCCATTCTCAACACCAGAACGCGCACGGGGCCAGAATCTCCGAGCGCTAAAAGGCCGAGCAAGTGGCTGTGTAGCTGCCAGCCGTAGTAATTAACAGACCAAAGGCACCGCAGACGTGAAAAGTATCCGCGACCGTTCATTCAACTGTGGTGAATTACCACATTTGCAATTGGGACGAATGGTTTCATGTCTGCAGTGGAGGTGAATAGATTTTGCTACGAGAGAGCGAGCAGGTGAGTGGGTGAGATGCGACACCGTAGTAGCGGCACATGCTATCATTGATCCTTGGCCATGCAATGCAACCGTAACAGTGATGCAGATCGCACTTCTGTCACCGCTGTCTCCTCTCAAAGATCTGATCAAATTATTGGAAATAAATGAAAGTCCGAAAAACGACTGCTATTCCGTCGTGCGAGGCGAAC